TGTTTGTCCACCCAAGTAACTCCTTCACCTTCAGTAGAGAAAAAGGGGTGTTTTTTGTTTTACTACCCACTATATTTTGCTAATGCAATTTAACAATCACACATAAAGCATTTTATTTTCCTGTGTATCTGGGTGAAAGAGTAGCACTTGTATGGATGCATATTTTCTGTTCCAGCCTCCTGATAGAGTAAGACTGATGACCACAGCACTGAGTCTGAGTAAACTCAAGAGACAAGAACAGACTGAGCATAATATGTAGCGATTTTGGTCTGGGGGTATTATTTTCACTGATTGTGTATGTGAAGAAGAGTCCATGAGACTGAGTAGCACTGTACATCTGTATAGCACTGCATGCTTTGTTCAGATCCTTGCTAAAGCCAAGAATAAAGCAACAAGGCTGGACAGTGTTCTGGTTTACTGGGACAGAATTTTAAAGTCAGTTTTCTGTTGAGGAAAACTGCAGTTTTGTAAGGACGACACCACACTATTTCATGGGAACAAAGTCAATAAAAAATTTGTTATAGTTTTTCAGCTAGCCCTGGTATGCAGGTTACCACAGTGATCAAGGTTTTTGACAGTCTTGAGAAACCAGGTGTAGATGTTAGGAGGAGCAAAAGCCAGGGCAGATGATCCAGGCTGACCAATTAATAATTATTCTATACCATAAGTGTCACACTCACTGTAAATTGGGGAGTTTGCTGGGGACAGCCTTCTCTCTTCCTCCCTCTTCCATGGCTGACATCTCAAGAGGGACTCTTTACCATACTGAGGCCTACTCAGGCCTACTCCCCCTGCACGTGTAACTCTGTGTATTTCATATAATATTATTAGGCTTTATTACTTTTATTAAATATATTTCTATTTTAACCCACAAATCTCCTTTCCTTTTCCCCAGGTGGGGAGGAGGCATAGGGTAATAGAGCAACTGTATAAACCATAAGAGACAGCTTCCAGAAACCAGTTTTTAAGAATGCCATTTTGATTCAGGTCTTTCAAAAAAATAAACTGTACTTTCAAATCTAGTTTATGTTAACTACAGAAAGAGTTTCAACCATATGTGTCTTTTTTTTTTTAACTCTCAACAGCAGAAAAGGCAAGTTACAGCCTTCCTGATTTTCTTTTCTTATAAGCATTTTTGTTATGTTGTTTAAAACACAATGTTAGGAATCAGATATTGCTAGAAGCTTTGGACTGATGCCTTCTGAAGCTTCCACTTTTCCCAATTTTTACTAGCAATAAAGATTTCATTTCTAGAAACATGTAATCTTAATTACAAAATTACCCCAGAAACATAAATGGAATTTAATTGGTTACAAAGTAATATTTTCATATAATCAAGGGATTGTTTGGGAGGATTTAAGGCATAATTTATTAGTTCTGGATAAGGTACACATTTTGATCCCTACAGGCAAATAACAGACTGATTAGTAAGCGTAATAAAGCAGGTTTTTTGTCTGACAATTGGCAGAAGTGCAATAGTTCCCTTGATCAATTGTCATTTTAAAGAACATTAAAGCTTCTCACAATTATGCTATCTATATGGTATGCAGATGAACAACAATACAGCATAAACCCTATTACACCAGTGACTTAATATTATGTTTCTGCCAGGTTTTGTACCTTTCTACATAATGCAAAAGGAAGTCATTACTTTTTGTACTGAAAGATTGACGAATTCACTCCCTTTCAGATATGCAAAGAATTTGACTATCAGAAGAAGTAAAGATCAAATCTTGTCTTGATCAATTTTTTTCTGATATTGAAAACCATGCATGTGAGTTTTGGAGAAGTCTTAGCTTTTCAGTCATTGAGTTCTTCAGAATTTTGTAGTTGTCAAGTAAAGGCAACCACCTCTCTCTGGCAGGAAGCTTTTCCAATCTGTTACATAAAGTCCTTCTCATATTTCTCAATTCAATTACTTTTTCAGTTAACATCAGTAGCTGACAGCTTTTGGAGACCAGTTCTCCGATGGCCCAGCCTCACTGAATTCAGTGGTTCTAAGTCAACACAGGAAGCCACCACAGAGTCAATAAATACCACACACATTTCAGACACGCATTATACAATGGAAAAGACTATGACAAAGGTATAAGATCACCTTTTTGAGATCAAATGATATTTCAGTGATCTAGGTAAGGAAATATTTACCAGTCAGAAGTTCAGAGGAACGTGAATACACTGCCCTGAGAAGGTCAATGGAGACTGTCTTGGTTCCCTACCGTTTTACTGAAAATGTCTTACACCCAATTAAAAAGAAAACCAGGAAAAAATATTACATTAAGATCGAGAAAAAAGTTAAAAATATTACACACAAATATGATCTATCATAACATGCAAAGACACCTAAACACATACACATTCAGAAAACAATTATTCTTATTTCAACTCAATATCAGTACAATTAACCCCATTCTTCTATTGGGTTGGTCAAAAAGTAATCACATTTTTAAATAGATGGACATACATATCTTGAAATGTAACTAACTGCATTTTAAACCACGAATTCATTATGTAACTTGACAGCTGACAGTTCAAGCTTGCTTTAGAAAAGGAAAGTGCATTATTTCATTAATTATTTGGCATTGATTTCAAAATGGAAAATCAAAAGGAACATTTTAGTCAGATTTTACTGTATTACTTCTGAGAAGGAAAAAAACACTGTGCAAGCTCATAAAAAGTTGTGATGTGTATGGTGAAGACCCCTTAAAATTACAGAAGTGTCAGAATTTGTTTGCTAAATTTCAGTCCAGAGATTTTGACGTTAAAGATTCACCTCGCTCAGGAAGGCCAGTCGAAGTTGACAACAAAATAAAGGCACTGATCGAATTCAATTAGCATTTAACGACAAAAGATTACTGATAACATATCGAAATTGAGTGTTTAAAACAACTTTGACAAGTTAGGAAGCTAAATATTTAGGTACCATACGGGCTCAAAGACATTCAGTTCACTAAGCAGATTGACATCTGCGATTCTCTCTTGAAACATGAAGAAAATTATCCATTTTTTAAATGTATGATAACAGGCAAAGAAAAATGGATCATCTACAATAATGACGAATGAAAAAGATTGTGGAGCATGCATGATAAACCAGCTCAAAGCACTTAAAAACAGATCTCCAAAGGAAGGTGATGCTGTCAGTCTGGTGGGATTTCAGAGGTATTGTGTATTTTGCATTGGTTTCAAGGAACCAAACCATTAATTTGGATTTGTACTGTTGTCACCTGGAGAAATTAAATGATGCCATAAAACAGAAGCATCCAGAACTGGTGAATTGCAAAGGTGTTGTGTTTCTCCACTATAATGCTAGACCACATATAAGTCTGGTCACTCATCAAAAACTGCTGCAGCTTGGATGGGATGTGGTACCATATCCACCATATTCACCAGACATGGCACCATCGGACTACCATTTGTTGTGGTCTTCACAAAACACCTTGAGCAGTAAAACCTCCACTGCTGATGGGGATATCAAATCATTCTTGGACCTGTTCTTTGCGGAAAAAGTTAAGAACTTTATTGAGCGCAGAATCATGAAGTTGCCTGAAAGATGGCAAAAGGTAAACGAACAAAATGGACACTATATTGTTTAATACAGTTTGTTTCCCAAGAAAAATTTGCCTTTCATTTACCCAGAAAAAAAAATCATAATTACTTTTTGGCCAGCCCAATACTACTCTCAAAAGGATCTCATTTAAAACAGATTTACAAAGGGAATCTATTTAAAGTCTTTGGCAGAGAATCCATTCTGGAAAGTTATTCTGTGCTATATGAGAAAGGTCAGAAATCTTGTTAAAATTCTAACGGAATTTAAGTTTTAATGACTGGAAAGTTATGTTCTTTATCCCTGAAAATTATACAGCTGAGTTTGTCTTTTATTGCTATTTCTCATTAAGTCAATCTACAAAACTACAGGCCTACTAGCAAGAAGCTCAATATATTTAGATTTCTACCACAATGGTCTGAGATGCCTTACAAAATTTAATTTTCTTAATAAACATTGTAACAAGTCGTACACTGAGCTTTCAAAAAAGGTGGAGGACCTCTAAGGAAATAACACAATTCATTCTTTGGACTCTTTATTCTACTGTCAAAGTTGTGAATCATCTGTCAATTACCTTATCTTTTACCTCATTTCCTGAAAAAGACAAGCAGTGGTTGATTTTCCTAGCTTTCTAATACCCAAACAATCTGCTGTCACTAGTGACTTTTACCTCAGATCATCTTCTTGAAGTAGAGGAACATTCTACTACCTTATTAATGGAGAACTGAAGTACAAGGTAAAGATAGCAATTGTACAAAAAAGCCTGTGGCTAAGTCATGATTTCTTACATCTCTTAGTCAGCCAGTTTATCCACCAGTTTCTCTTGTTGCTATAACATGTCTTTAATAAGTTTACCATCCTATTTGCATGACACAACTTTTTCCAATTTTTCCCCTTCACATATCACTTACTTTCTCAGAAATCTTTCCTGTGAATATCCCCAGTCCTCAGATGCAGTGATGACCAGGAGGACCTCCAACCTATGGCTGGAGGCTTCTTACGTCCCCTTTTTCCCAGCAGTTTGCAATGTTTATAGATTCTAGAAAAATTATCATTAATACAGAGATAGCTTTCTTGCCACTTATTCAGGATTTGCAAAGAATTCTGAGATACAAACACGTGAAGTCTGTGAGTCAACCAATGCAGTACTCTTTGGCTATTATTTGTAATCACTAACTGAACCACAACAGGATTAGGTGAGAATTCTGCATAGAAAGAACAGGTAAATTATCATTATGTAATCTACCTTTCAACTAACAAATTGCTGACTAATTCAATCTCTTACCAAAAGTCTCTATGGCAATAACTATACCCCACAGCAAATAATGCCTGCAGCATTTTAAAATGTCTTCCTCTCCCATCTGACTTCTCTGCATAATAGAGATTCTGAATCTGTTCCACTTAAAAATCAACACATTAATAAAATTGCACAGTTGCATTGCTGTATAGTACATACCCCATGCTCTTGAGCAGCCATAACCACTTTTGAAAGAATATCTTCTTCAACAAACGGCCTCACAGCATCATGGATAATCACTACTTCTGGCTTCTGGAGCTGATGGCTGGAAAATTCATTCTCTACAAATACTTTCAGTCCATTGAAAATTGACCGGTGACGAGTTATTCCACCTTTTACTACAGTAACTTTTTTGTGGCCATATTTTTCAATTATAGATTTCATTGTTTCAATATTCTCAGGAGAGACCACCACAACAACATCGGATATCCAACTTATCCTAGAAGAAATAGTACAAAACAGAGAAATTAGACATGAATGACTAAATAAAAGTACAGATGTCTCCATGAAACAAAGAAATCCGTATCAGAAGAAATTCAAGATGGCTAAATAAAGCACCTCTTAATATACTCAAGCCCATGTTTTAGTGTGTGTGTGTTAGCACCTAGAGACCAAGTTACATGAGAAGATCTCTACCAATACACGGATGTCAACCAAAGTCACTGGAAATCTGGGAAGGGACTTGCTTCCAACAACCAGTTTGCAAAGGAAAAAAATACCCAACCCAAAAACCAACAACAACAACAAACCAAACTAAAAGGCACCTTCTGATATCCCTTTGAAAAGTCTTCAAAACATTTCTTACTCCAGCCTCATCCCTAGCTTCAAACGTAACTTCTAAATCAATCAGCTACAGCTTGTTATTTCAGCATTGTCTAAATTCAGTCTTCCATAAATTGGTAAATCCTGGGACCTGGAATACTCCATGTTCTGCTCTGCAGTAGACTGTGTACAAATACATACGAGGATCAAGAAAAAGTCTGAAACAAAGATCACTATCAAGAGAGGCATGAGCAGTAATTGACAGATTTCTAACGAATCAGTATCTGTGACACTTGAATACTGACAGGAAACATACTGGTAGTTCGCAAAAAAAAACATGTTTACCTGTACACATATTTATATCAACATGAACGTTTCTACTTTAGGAAGCTAGTACAGTGTAAAAACATTGCTATGCTAGGTAAAATTACCATAATATGCAAAGCATACTTTTAGACAACTTCAAGCTTCCACTGTTGGTATCAGCCTAGCTCCACAATTGAGGGGTGCTGTGGGGGGGAGAATGATCTGCAAAGTTAAAACCAGTCATAACTGAAGTTAGGCTGAAGTCATACTTGTGTCTAAGGGCCTAGAAATACAAATTTTAGCCACATGTGGCATACTATACCTCAAAATAACAGAAATATCATAATTCAAATCTAGCTATTTGAGTGTCTTATTTCTTAAATGCTATGTAGAGAGCATAAAAAAGGATTTAAAATTCTTTTATTTCCTTTCTGTGTCTCCACTGATGACAAGAAGGTTTTTCAGCCTGACAGAGAAGAAACTTATCAGTTGAGCAATGATTAAAAAAACAATTTACTATTTACTGTAGTAAAATTACTCGTGTAGCCTGTACATCCACCTAGGAAGGGAGAGAGACAAGTACGGTATATTCTCTCAATTATAACTAGTAATGCTATTACAACAAATTTTGCAGACACTAGGTGGACTAAATACTTCCAGTTAGAAAAATAAGAGTAAGAAATTTACAGTTCAGAAATATACAGCCTCAAGCTATTGGTTTCTGCAATAATACATGAGAAGACATTGCCTAGGAACTATGCTTACGCCAAAAGTGAAGTAATTTGTTATACATCCACTCCCCCAGAGCTATGTGAAACAACAGAGCATCTTCCACCTTCTGCATTTTTTTTAATTAAAACTCCATAAAAAGTTATTTCAATGAATTTTAAAATAACTATTAAAATAAAGTGCTATTAGAATTCTTCAAAAGAAAATTATTTGTCCTTATGCTTATTGTATTACTAACAAAGGCAGAAAATACAGCCAAACCAACATATTCTCAACATTTTTTAAGTCTTGAAGTTGTTCAAACGTAAAATCTGATGTCATATGGTTTCAAGTTTCATTTGAACTTGTCACTCAACACAGGTTCATCAAAAGGTTTTCAAATCTCAAATGAGTCCTGGCACAGTCTTACATTAAGCCACAAAACTTAGCACCTCTGCATGACTTGAACTCAGAACTAGGCCAAACTAGTTGCATTCATCTCAGTTCTCCTTTTGGCTATTGAGAGTCAGACATTTAAATAAACCAAAATTCAAGAAGAGCTATTTCACACTGAACAAGAATAAGAACTCTGTACTTTTATTTGCAGAAAGACTATAGCTTTGCACAGTTCCTGGAAACAATGGACAGTCTGCACATTCACTGGTGACTGTGTACGAAGAGCACTGACATTTCCCATTCTGGAGTCAAACCAAACAGATGATGAGGCAATTGAGTGGTACACAGCATATTCTGAGAAGAAGGGAAGAGAACAGAAGTATTGGCCAGCCTGTGATAAATCTCTGCTCAGGGCGGGTGGAATGGCTCAAGGCCTCCAGTGGTACAATACACCGAAAAGTGACAGGATGCGGTCACAGCTCCACCCTGTGTCTGGATAAACACATTTATAAACTTGAGTGTGTCCTCCTTAAACTCACTCTGGACGAATGATGTATAATTAGAGCTGGGATTTAGAGATGCAATCTATTCATATAAGACTATAAAGATTGATTAGATGCAAGAACAGCTTAGGCTTTGAAGCCTAACATGTCCCATCAAAACTGATTTATAAAACTCATGAAAAGTGCTAATTCAGTAAAGTATGCAACAAATTCTCACAAATGAGAACTGTGTGCCACACAGGTGCTTACTCTTTTCAAGATCTGCTTATGGAAATGTTGCAAAGTGTTTCACTGAAGTAGAAAGACATCAGTATACACTCAATCTGGCAGTAAATGGATCCTTTTTTCCCCTCCTTCAATTTGTCACACCCTTTCCTTGAGAAAGATTTCATACTAAATAATAAGAAGCTCAAGATCTGCTCAAAACCAGTTTAAAAATAGGAAACACCTTTTCCATTTCGTAACTGGAATATAAAAACAAGATAATGCAAGCTTCAGAAAAAAATCAGCACAAGGCATAAAAAAAGATCAGGACGTACGCACACTCAGTTTCTTGCAACTCTTACCCTGACCAGTAACAACCTATTTAACATACAACCTACTGAAACTGGCAGTTCTGTCCGCAAAACAAGGCCAGAAACAGGCAGTCACTACTGAGATGGCTTTAGTAGCATAAGATACGATCTTTCACTGCCACAGAAGCTCTATAGAGGAACAAGATAAATCACTGGATTACTTTTGCTGATCTTATTATTCAAGCACCAAATGAGAAAAAGATCTGTCAAGAACAAAATGCATTTGCAGAATGCAAGCATAACTTCCTTTTACTCCATAATAGCTTTGCGATGACTTTACTGATATATGAAAAAAAAAATTAATACATATGTCTCTCTTACACTACAAAAACAGAAGCAGGCAGGTTTTAAGTCTGAAAAGTTTCACAGGTACATTAAAGAAGCTTTGAGGATCGTATCTACAGAAGCCATCCATTTTTTCCTGAAAGATGATGTTCCTTATTAGTCAGACAAGATAACAAAGAAACCTTCATAAAGTCAAAGCAATTAGATTCTTTACTATGATTATTTTTAGCTCATTAGCAACTTTAAGAATTAGCTAATGATAACTGGACAAAAATAACTTATCATTGTAGATACATTTAACAAAAGTGTAACTGTGTGACCTGTAGAGCCACTGAACCTGCATCAGCCAACATGTAAAAACACTTGGTAAATAAACTACACAAAACACTTCTGAAGAGGCGATTCTCTGGAAGCTTCCCCTAGGTGATGTTTTTTTGATACCAGACTCCCTGTTTTAATAGGCTACATTACAGTAAACAAAGCTGTCTGAAACCTTTATAGACATTTTGTATTCTATTAGTAAATATATTAACTCTGCTTTCCTCTTTCATAACTTTCAAGAACAGATGACATATACGCATAGCAAGAATAGCAGCAGCTTATTTGCCGCACAATCAACTTTTACCTTAGCCTTTTTTCCCCTCTCTATAGCTTTAGTCAAATACGTGCACACATGTGCACAGAGCTGAGATTCCTCCCGCCTCAGAAAAGGAATTGGAAAGGCTCTATTATAAACAAACAAACAAAAAAGAAAATTAAAGAAGAACCCTACTAGTCTGTACAAAAGCAAAAGAAGGAATGCCACTGTAGTTCTGTTGAACTTGATGCAAAAGCCTTGCATAGGTCAACAAAAGCAGAAACAAACAGTGGGAAAAACCAAACATTCAAATTCTTTAACACCCTAATTTTACCCCCAAGGTAGGACCTGACCTTCCCATCATCACCATTGCACTGGCAGTAAGAAACAATCAGCTCTCCTCACCCTATTTTTTTCCTCACCTCCCCTTCCTAAGGGCATCATCTTTGACTACTATTGGCAGGCCAATGTCCTACATGCTGTCATCCTATGCAACAGGATGCACTGCTTATTCATTCATGTCTGCTCTTGTCTTGTCTGCCAGTTTTTCCACACCAATATTTAAGATTCTCACTACTTTCAGCTGAATAGAGTAAAACCCTTTTCTCCTGATTTTTAAAAAGCACATGCAAAGCAGCTGCAAATTCTTGATTTGCTCATTTATTTCTGCCTATATGTTGCTATGTTTTTTCCAGAACAAAAAAGTTCAAAAATAGCTGCAGTAGCTGAGATAACCAGTTCAATATAAGTTATTGGAGGCTAATAAGTTAATGTTTCATTCAGCAGGTTTCATTCAGGACATCAGAAGATATCATTAAGCTAAACACTGAAAATCTGTCACTTCTGGGTGACAGATTATGTGACAAACTACAGTTCCTCAATATTACATTTTTGCACATACATTCACACAAAGTGAGAACAAGGTACCTCTTTTGCAGTTTCAGAGTCAAAAGTAAGTGTTGAGATTAAAATGAAAGCCATTCCAAGCTTTAGAGTACATCTGCTCCCAACTCCTATACATATACATACCAGCCAGCACACCAGTTCAATGCAGAGACAGCAGAAAGCTCTGCCTGCAAGAGTACTGGCACCAGTTATTGCACTCCTTAAGCAAAAAGCACTAGGTTGTTACCAGCACAATCAACTTTGGATCACGCACCTGGTTGGACCGTACAATTATAGTTCAAACTTCTGATTTTTTGCAGCTTTAAGACATAAATATAATACTGCTGTTCAAAGAACTGTGTTTTCCCCATAGCTTACTGGCAGCAATTTTTTTTTTTTCATTAATAATGTTTTATTTTCCTATGGATATAATTT